TATTTTCAATAAAATAAAAAAATACAGAAACTTAGGCTTCGGTCACACCTACACTTTGGCATCAATCGCGTGTCCAGGAATAGTGATCTTTTCCTAACTGCATGTAATCATATCAGATACAATGGCAAGGTGCCAGCATTCTGCCACTTTCACCCGATCAATAACTTGAACGGGTGACAACTGCCACTTCTAAACGGCATGCTTGGGATTCCTGCTGTGGGAATTCACAAGTTCCTGGCGCAGGAATAACAAATCGGACCTAAGAAGTGTAGATGTGAACGAAGTCTTAAAACGGAGAGCCCTCTGAAACATGTACCGTAAGGGAATATTAAAACTGAACAATGAAGTAAACCTGTCACGACTATTGGGTTATACAGCAGATATCAAAAGATGACTCGGAGCTCCTTTCAAATATTTCAAAAATCCCCAGGAAGCCCCCATCCAGACAGTATAGGCTTTTACTCCTCTAACCTGGACCTAAACTACACCCATGCTAGCGCCAAGGCCAACCTGACATTGTACCAGGTTTTTATTGACATCTGTGTCCTCCATTGGGGAGATTTTCCCTCACTTCCTGAAAGGTGTCACAGGGACAGGAAGCAAGGGGACATCACCACAATGTAGCCACACTCTGAGAACTAAAGTAAGAAAAAATGTGGAAAGTTGGGTCTAATTCAGCATCAGTGTCATAAACAAGGAGTGGACTTCTCCCCAGATGATCCGGCATACAATTAGGATGATGATCTATTACCTGGAAAGGGCTATGAAATAAACAGATGGGTCTCCCTTACCTTCATTTTCACCTGAAAGACAAACAAATAATACACATTTATTCTCTATTCACTGCTGGTATCATATGAAAGTCAACGTCTGATCAGATCATGGCTAGGAAGTACACGTCTAGCATGTCAGATCCTCTTCACTCAAATGTTTCAGCATAAAAGGTTTTCTTATAAGAAGTCCTAATACAATACATGCACCTACACCAGGAAACATATAGGGCAAAATAGGAATAAAATGAATATTTCTTTTTAGCCTACCTCGCCCAGAAGCCAGAGGGTTCAGTGGCCGTTTCACTGCTTTTGGTCTGCAAATCAAGAAAGGAGAATAAATCCGGGTGAGTGGGTATACAATGAATATTCCTAATCCAATATGTTGGCTACCAAAAGTACCTGCCTTCATTGTTAAAGCTATACAATGGTGCTATACAATGGAGTAACCAATCAGGTACCTGCCTTTATTTTCTAAGCTATACAATATAGTAACTAGGGCTGCAACAACTAATCGACTAAGTGGCTGCATAATCCATAAATGATGATGGAAAGCATTGTCAAGGTTTTCCATCATCAATTAGTTGACTTTCGATTAGTTGTCCTGCTCGCGGCCCGCCACCTCTCCTCCCCACCTCACCCAGCTCTCACTGACTCGCCGTTTCCCACCCACACTATCCACGATCGGCACAGGGAGTCTGAAGCCAGGAGGAGCAGGTGTGGGAGGACGGCAGCTGCCGACAGACAGGCCCCCGATCTCAGGTAGAAAGTTGCTGGGACAGTGTTTAGGTAAGACTGCCTGCACTTTCCCCCCACATGGTGCTCTATTAATGTATTGCTGGGATAGTGGGATTTGTATTCCTCTATAACTGATGGTACATTGAGCTTTATATTATACAGAGCAATGCACCATCAGCTATAGAGGAATACAAATCCCAGCAATACATTATACACTGTGTGTATAATGTATTGCTGGGATTTGTTGTATTCCTCTGTAGCTGATGGTATTCTCTGCATTGTGCTGTATAATTTATTGCTGGGATTTGTTATATTCCTCTATAGCTTGTGGAATTCTGCATTGCACCGCTGTGTAATGTACTATTGCTGGGATTTGTGTAGTCCTCTATAGCGGACACTGTCCTTCCTTCTGGAGGGGGGCTACTTTTGTTCCCCATGGTCCCCGTGTGTGTTCTAAAGTAGTCACCGCTCCAAGCTCACTCCTGGGATGGACTACAATCTCAATACAAAATTAGTTATCCATGACCGGAGCCATTTGTTTTCTAAAATTAATACATTATTTGTATCCGATTCATCGGCTAATAATCGATTTTGAAAATAATCGTTAGCTGCAGCCCTAATAGTAACCAATCAAGTGAAGGTTTAAAACAACATTTTCTATCCTAAACTAAAAAAGAAAGAAAAAAGTTTCTGGTGGATCTGGGCTTAAAAAAAATACACTTCCTGTGTCTGGCTAGGTAGTGACTAATTTTTAGCAACAGGAGGTTAAGTAAACAGTTTCTTCACCAAATGTGGTATAGGCCAGAGCTGATGAAGGTCAGAATACAGATAAGTATATTGGGCATGTTTGTAGACAGTTGCACAATGTTCCTAGGCACTTCTACAATCCTTGCACAATGCAAAATTGTCTCTATTGTGGCCAAACTGAAGCCTTTGTCCATCTGATGATTTCGGGAAGAGGAAGTGGCTGCCCTGAATGCCTTTCCCCATCCCCTATACAGTTACAAAAAGGAAGACAATGTGCTGCAGAGTTGCCCAATATTTGTCAGCCTCTTAATCCCGTTATTATTCAATACATTTTGTGAACTCCCCCATCAGGTATTAATGGAACTGTAGTTATTAATAATCTTCAATGTTTTAATGAAGTCATTTATATTAGACCAGCCTTTCTCAAAGAGGTTTCCGTGGCACCCTGGGGTACCTTCCAGTGAATAGAGGGAAGGGTCAGGTTTTTGTGGCAGCCCGTGTCTACACTGGGGAGATGTACAATCTCAGTGTGTCCTGGTGACCACTGTCATTCGGACAGAAAGTGAGGAGAGGCCCAACATTTTACAGTCGTCACCCAAAAAATGTAAGGGGGAAGATCTTCCAATTGAGGCACCCATTCTGTTGACAACTCTAAGACAGGATTCCCCCCCGACAGGTTTCCTTTAATTGTGCAGATGTTTTGGATAGGTAGCCACATTAATACAGCATGGGCATCCCTCTGCCAAACCATAGCCTACAGCCATTTCAAGGGGATTCTACAAAGAGGTCTGGCCTCTGCCTAATGGTAATTAAAAAGGAACCCAATACTGCTCCTAAGAGTACCTGTATAAGGGTCCCCACACACCTTACGATTATCGTACGATAATCGCGGGAAATCCTGCGATCGTACGATTATCGTAAGGTGTGTGGAAGCCGTGCGACCTCTACTACTGTAAGGTCGCACGACTTTAAACATTTTATCATTTAATATAGGGGAAACTGTTTTGTTTTTTTAAATTTCGGTAATTTTTCCTTAATATAGTAAAAAAATAAAACCCCCAGTGGTGAATAAATACCACCAAAAGAAAGCTCTATCTGTCCCCAAAAAAGGGTATAAAATTCATTTCAGTACAGCGCTGCATGACGGAATAAATGTCAGTCAAAGTACCGCAGCGCTGAATACTGAAAAATGGCCTGGATGGGAAGGGGGTTTAACACCGCGGATGTCAACTGGTTAAGTACCTTACAACCATCGCAAGACAAAAGTCTTGCGATGGTTGTAAGGTGTGTGCCCAGCCTAAGACTTGAAACCTACCCTGAATGTCCGTTCCATAAGAGCCATAGTGTTACACAGAGACCCTCCAGGACATCACAGCTCCTAAGTATACCTGGGCAACACTTAAAACCTACCACGAAATCCACTTCAATAAAAGCAAAAGCATTATGCAGAGACCCTCTAGGAACATCACACTATCACAGAAAGCAAGTTTAGCAATACAGTGGTACCTCAGTTCACGAACTTAATTTGTTCCATGATTTTGGTCACAAACTGAATTGGTCGCGAACAAAATCAAGTTTCCCCATAAGGTTCAATGTAAATAAGGTTAATCCGCTCTGACCCCTACGAACGTGGTCGCGGACCGATTTTGGTCGCAAACAGAATAACATTTTCCCACAGGGTTCAATGTAAATGAGGTTAATCCGTTCTGAACCATATTTAAATTCATTACCGCTCTGCACTTTCTTTGGAGCCATGCTGGATTGAATAATACTGCACAGTACTGTATGTGCTAAAAAGCTTCACAGCAAGTGTGCACAGGTCTGTCTGCGACCGCGATCTCGGCTAGAGGAAGCCACGACCACGTGTCAGAGCGCGGAAGATGGCCGCGGTCGTCACCCGATTTGGAGCTCGCGAACGGAAGCAACATTTTGCTGAACTTCCTGTTCTCAAACCGAATTGTTCACAAACAGAAGCGTTCATGAACCGAGGTACCACTGTACTCGGATAACCTAATTTTTGCTGCTTGTAACAACGACCTCCGTTATAGGCATGTCCATTACAGGCACCTGCAGCTGGAGGAAGCTTTACATTCCTTTCCAAGAGAACACTAAAAGGTGCCCATGCACCTTACAATTTATCTGCAGATTTTCTGTGGTCAGATGGAAAAAGTGCAACAGATTGGCCCAGGTGGAGATTACTCCATCCACACAGCTTAGCGTAGATGGAGGAATCTGTTGCACCTTTTCCATCTGACCATAGAAAATCTGCAGATAATTGTAAGGTGTGTGGGCAGCTTTAGAATGTAATGATTTACTGGTAATAAAACATTATGTGATTGACATGACAGATTCACTTTATAAGAAGTTTATAACAACGGTTTGTATTTTATGTTTGGGACCTCCTGTCACTTCTGCTGTGTTGGACTTGATGATAGGTCTGCTGGGCTGTATGTACAGTTTCTGCTGTATTTGAATATGCAGTTAAGAGCTACGCCAGCTAAGAAAACAAACCAGGTTTGGAACAGAGGTCATGCTAAACAAATTAACAAATATTTAGAAGTACAAAATCAATACAGCGCTATTATAACTTAAAAGGGGAAGAACACCTGAAATGTTAGCAGCCTTGTACAAAAAAAATATTTTAAAGCTTGAGTTATAGGCCGGGTTCACACCTCGGCGTGTTACATCGCTGATCGACGCGCTGTAAAACGTTCAAACAGTGAAGTCCCATACTTCCCTATGGGGATGGTTCCCGCCTGGGAGCATTTCCGCCTGTGGAAACGCGCTGAAAAACACCCTACGCCCAAACAAGTACAGGAGCTTATTTGGGGCGTTTTTTCCGCACGTTTCCATTGGTATTCCCTAGTGTGGCTGGGGGTTAACAAAGCGGAAACCCCGAGCCCCACTCGGGAATACAGCGTAGGACTTACCTTGTCCGCGATTCCTGCTGTGTCCTCCGGCGGCTGCCGACTTTCCGTCCCACGTTTCACTGAACGGAAAAACGTGCTAAAAAAACTAGCTGAAAAAATACGCCCAGGTGTGAACCCAGCCTTAAAGCCTTACTTTTTTTTTACTTGTTATACAGTCAGGCTGCATTACAAGTAAAGAAGGTGGTGTTCTATCAAAGGTTGCGACTGCGTTAGAATGTGTGACCAGTGACGTGGTCACACATTTTAAACATAATCGCGCTCACTTTTTCGGTGGTGGAATGTGCGACTGGAAAAAGGTGCAGAATTCCATCATTTTCTCAGCTGTTTCAGGGCAGATTGGCACCTCTGTGGCACCTTTTCCATCTGACCGTAGAACATCTGCAGATAATTGTAAGGTGTGTGGGCAGCTTTAGAATGTAGCATCGCAAATCTTATGTGCCCTGAAACAGCTGAAATGTCAATTCCATCTGACTTTTTTACTGCAATCTCACAGCGGTGCGATCTCACAGCATGTCAGATAGAAGTGACATTTCAGGACTGATTAGCTGTTCCAGGGCAGATCAGTTCTCCTGCACATACCATCTGCGATGCCGATCTGCCCTGGAACAGCTGAGAAAGCGTTGGAATTCTTCACCTTTTGCTTGTCACATATTCCACGGCCGAGTACGTTAAAATGTGTGACCACGTGACCGGTCACACATTCCAACCCAGTCACAATCTTTGATAGAACAGCGGCATTATTTTTTGTAACTATGTGTTTACACTTCATGCTTAAAGGGTACGTCAACCCTACTAATGGACTTCTTTTAATTGGTCCCTTTTGATCTGTAAGCACGAACACAGTAAGAGGTTTGCTTAACAAGGACAAAAAGTACCTGCTGACCCTGCCAGAAATCAGCTGAGAACTTCCTGTGCCCTCTGTCTGTGCTGCACTCTTATCACATTACATTGTTTCCAGCTATTTATGATTACACAGTGTCCTCTTTCCTTTGTGTTCTGAAGAACAGGAGAAGGGAAGGTTTTTGCCCTCCAGTCCTGTGGTGACAATGCTTCTTCCACATAAATAAGAGTACAGTGAGTGAGCATTGTCATCCTAGGAAGGATGTTTGGCCATACAATATGTGACTTTCGGCCAGTTCTTCGGGAAGCGGCCAAGATTCGCACGGTGGGTGCCGCTGTCGGCAGCCTTTCAGCCAGCATCCCTCGATCATCAAAGGAGTGGCTTAGTGGTTAGCGCTTCTGCCTTGCAGCACTGTGGGTCACCGGTTCGAATCCTGGCCAGGTCACTATCTGCATGTTCTCCCTGTGCTTGCGTGCGTTTCCTTCGGGTACTCCGGTTTCCTCCCACACTCCAAAGACATGCTGGAAGGTTTATTGCCTCCCGTCTAATTTGACCCTGTATGCATGTGAGGTAGGGTCCTTAGATTGTAAACTCCTTGTGGGCAGGGACAGATGTGAATGTGCAACTGTGTAAGGCGCTGCGTAAATTGTCGGCGCTATTTTAAGTACCAATAATAAATAAAAAGAATAAAATGAGCTGCCGCCTCTGTTTGGGTATTCTGACAGGGGCTGCCGGCCACAGTCTGAATACAAAGGAAACAGCAAGCATTCCTCGATCAACGCTCGTAATTGTTGATGGAGGAATGTGTTCCATTTTTTTTATTTTCAGCCCAGGGGTTGAACAAAATAATAGAACAGTGTATTGCCAGCTTTACTGGCAGGCACATGAGGTGAATAAAGGGGGAAAAGCCAAAAAAGAAAAACACTAATGCAGCCAACACATCTACATACTGATGAGCTGTAATACCGTATATACAATTGTTGTGCTTGGGTTTAGATATGCTTCAACATTCTACTAAGCTGCCCTGTACAGCTAGCACGATGGAGAGCCGGACAGCTACTCTCACCCAGAATGAAGCGGTCCAAGGTATACAGCAGTCTAACACGTCCCTTGCACCGTACTCCAATCAACAAAGCTCATGCTCCCTGAGCACCGCTGCTGATTGGAGTACTGTGCAGAGGGCATGTTTCGGAGATATATAGCCTTACTTTTAATCAACATGGCATTATTTTAATAATATATAAATAAAATTATTAGTAGTATTAAAATGATGCCATGTTGATTAAAAGTAAGGCTTCAGCGTTTGCCATGTAGTAAGTGCTGTAATCTGTTGTATCAGCTATTTTTACTTACAGAGATTACTGGCAGCAAGACAGTTATGTAGGAAACCATTTCCTTTCATAATCATACACATTTCCTCTTTTCATTATCCTCTTGAAGTCCAACAACTTTTTTAGTTTTGGATACAGAGGGGCAAGGTTACAGCTCCTGTCAAATTTGAAATGCTGTAGGAGCCGCACAGAGACAATATTTAAGTCAGTATGTGTCTCAAAGAGGAGATTTGTTTTCCTGTCTAGCCCAAAACCCATCACGTGCGCAAGAAGTGAAGTAATATCTCCTTCATGGGGACAAAGAAAGCAATAAAAACCGGACAAACCTTTCTCATCTGCTAGGAAATGCGTTTTAATTGCGGACTATGTCTACACTGAGAATTACACTCACCTCTGTTGCCTTTAATACCCATTATATATACGGGAACGGCAGGGGGTATTTTCCTTTCTTTCTGGTTCTGTCTGAAGGAATCAGTCAATTTATAGGAAAGGGCAAATCTCCCAAATGTGCACAAATATCAAAAACTTATGGCCCCTTCGAACAGGTTCGCCTGTCAGTTTTTCAGGCGGACCCAATCGGATGCCCAATGCAAGTCTGTGGGCAGCCGGATCTAAACGGACGGGTGTCCCTTTAAATCCAGTTGCCCCTGGCTCCAACAGGTCCAGAAAAACAAACAGAACAGGGTTCAGTTTCTCCAGACCAGATCATGGCGGATCAGGGGTAATCTGACTCATGTCGGTTTACATCCAATTCCCCATAGACTGATATGGAAGTAAGACGCACAATGGAGGAAAAAAACTGGACAGACATGGATTTCCCAGCGGTAACATCCGATCAATATCGCTCCGATCATGAGGGGATCCATGCACGGATCACCTCCTGATCGGATAGTGTGAAAGGAGCCTAGGAAAAGGTTGTAATCATTCCTCATGCCAAAACATAACAAATTATAAGCTGAAATATAAAAGCAACAATGTCACAGAATTTAAAAATGATAAAGACCTGCTTTGTTATTTTCCCCTCCATAGTCCTAAGGACAAACTTAGAACACAGTCACTCACTTGAAACAGTTTTCCTCGTAAATGCTGTTCCAGATCTTCCAAGCATCAGGTCCTTTGTACCCCGTGAATCTTTCTGGGTTAATAAGCAAGTCGACATATTCTGCGTCTGGGGATTCCTCATCTATAAGAATTCATGTATATTAAAGACGGACTGTTCTTTACAATGAGGAGGATGGGGGTGGTGATCAATACAGAAGCGTTGCTTTACTTGTTGGGTCAACATTTTCACTAGCTGCAAGTGTTTGTGGACAAGATACAGCAACAGAAAGAAACAAGAAATCTGCCATTTTAGTCTTTGTACAAATCTATTGAACCAAATTAAGGGATCTTTGTACTCCCAAAGCTTACACTGTGTATATATACTGTATGTCTTGAGGGATCAATGTGACCCCAGATGAAAATACAGCATCTCATCTAACCAACGCCAAGGAGCTTATAGCACTTCCTATGTTAACCATGATCCCAGCACTGGAGCACAATCAGGGAAACCACAGGTTTCAAGAGACCCTGTCACCAGAGTATTCGACCCAACAAAAATCTTCCCATAAGATTATACAGTATGTAACATCTTAAGCTTGTTCATACCTAAAGTAATCCTTCCTTGTGTAGACTTCTAAAAAGCAGCGAGACTGCTGCTGGGCACCACCATCTTGGATGAGATGTTAGCAGACTCAGAGCTATCACTCAAGTGACACTCCACAGCAGGGTTAAGCAACCTCTGCACTCGTTGTGCTAAAACTACAAATCCCTACATGCTTCTGCCTTTGGGAGTTATGCCGGTGGCTGTTGGTCTTGCGATGCCTCGTGGGACTTGTATTTCCACAACAGATGGAGTGTCAAGGTTGCCTAGCCCCGCTATGGAGTGTCACTTGAGTAACAGCTCTGAGTCTGCTAACATCACAACCAAGATAGTGGTGCCCAGAAGCAATCTCACTGCTTTTGGATATCTAGGACGGTAGGCAATCTCCAGCCCTTCAGTTGTGATGAAACTACAAATCATAGCAAGCTTCTACCTCTGGGGAGTCATGCCTGTTGCCGTCCAGAGTCTTGCAATGCCTCATGGCACAACAGTTAGGACTGCCAAGGTTGTCTACCCCTGCTCTTTAGCATTCTCCTTTGCTCCTTTCCTAGCTCCTAAAAGGTTATGTTGGGAAGTAGGGTGGAGGAGCAGGCCCAGCACAGGCTGGAATTGTCTCTCTCCTCTTCTGGGAATGTCTACGACGTGCAAGAAAGGAGGGGGTTGCGATAGGGAATTGGCTAGCCAATTTTTCTAGCAAGTGTAAAGGCGAGCAAATACAAGTTATTTAGGAAAATAAAAACGCTGCATGTTAACATTTAGAATACTTGATGTATCTGATTTTATCTGGTTGTTGACAGAAGTCAATGAAACTTAACCTGCAGGTTCAAAAACTTTATTTAAAAAAGGCAAACTATTACTGAGGCATAACAATGCCCAATGGACGACACAACGATTTTGGATACCCTAAGGATGCAGATACACATCAAGTCATTTGAATGGAATCCTATCCTTTACACTATCTTTTATGCACTCTGACAAAACTGCACATTTTAGACACAATGCTATTATGTCTGCACAGCAGACGGGAATCAGATTTTACACAACCTTCAGGGAAATTACCACTGAGCTATCAGTGATATTTGAGGGCCTGGCTGTCATGTCACTTTCTAGTCTGATATCAGGAAGAGATAGGCTACGTACCGTCGTGTTCGCAGAAGTTATCATCGGAGTTATCGTCATGATGACTCCACTGTGAAAAGGCTTCCTGCGCGGCTTCACTGCAAGAAGAAATGTCACATTAATAAGGCCAAGCTCTCTCGCTTATGGATAACGTCCGGGTCTTACACCCGGTGTCCCACCCAACACCAAGCTTAATATTTTTGTGGAGTTTATAACGGTCATCAATAAGTGTGGTGGTACAGGATGCCCTGGTGGGTCCTCATACTGTCCCGGACCCTGGATGGGTGGTATGGTACATACAGAGGTCCACTCACCTCAAGGACTCATCCACAGCACCCAGTCTCTTTTCTTTTTCACATTCCAGCTCGCCGTTCGCTTTATTTGCGGCCTCGGTGTACTAAAAAAAAAAAAAAAAGCAGTGAAAAGCACATTAACCCCTCTCATACATCCATACGGTTATGGTAGATAATACTGTCTGTTTAAAGTCTAATTGCACCTTATTGATATACAATTAATGATGTATTGACTACATTGGGGATAGGTAACATCAGCCCTCTAGCTGTGGTGAATGCCCTGCCTCTAGGAGTCATGCCTGTGGCTGTCAAGAGTCTTGCAATGCCTCATGGGACTTGTAGTTTCACCAAAGCTGGAAGGCCGAGTTTGCCTACCCCTAGACTACACAAGCCCTCCTCCAGCTGTGGTGCTTCTACAGGTCCCCTAAGGTATTGCAAGACTCACAGCCACAGGTATGACTACCAGCAGCAGATGCAGGATGGGGGTTGTAGTTTCACCACAGCTGGAGGGCCGGAGTTTGCCTACCCCTGCCCTAAAGGATTTAGTACAGCTGCACATGGCTACCTGCAGCATCTCTCATTATAAATTGGTGTAAAAGGACTGTAGCATGGACTGTTCTCTGTGCAGAATTACATTCAGCGTTCCCAATGAGCCAACAAATAAAAGCGCCCCATGCCAAGTTCTTCCGCACACTTTTCCGACGTCTATTTCTGGCTCATCGGAGACACAAACCGTCCCTGAAAGGGAAATAAATATTCCCCCTGCTGTCTTTATCTTCTCTGCCGCAGTCACGCCGTGTTTACTGAACTGCAGATGCTCCAAACGCCAGAAGAGATTTAAAAATGTAATTTAATTTTCTTGTTAATGAAATCCCTTATCATACAAGTGTACAGAAGAGTGACAGAACTTTAAGAAGGTCGTCACAATGCAAAGCCGAAGTTGCTGAAGTGTAACGTGCTGTAATAGGGAACATATAAGCCCTCCAGCACACAGGAACTATTTATGTAACAATTTCGTCAGCGGATGGGAAGTACAAAGAACGCATTCCAGAAAGGGCGAGTTTTGTCTGCGGAGCACCAGATCAGAATACAATTATCAGTCACATCCCCTCGCTGAACAGGTGAACA